GCAAATTTCCCAATTTTCACAAAAAAACCCAAACACTTTTAATCACTGTATTTGCAGACCACTAATTCACCAGAATAAGGTGCACACCCACATCTACTGGGGAATTAGACTTGGGATCAGTGGGGAAATGTCTACATAATGCCAAAGCTGACAGTAATTTCTCTGTTGACTTCAATGAGCATGAATGTCCTCCTACCAATGCTTGGCTGCCCTCCCCCAGGTTACAGCTTCACATCAACATACAGAGAGGAAGCAAAACCACTCTAATGAGCTTTCAAGATGATTTCTTAGAGTTCACAGCAGAAAGCTCTTCCCCACGTTTTATTCATCCAAAGCCAAAGTATTCTAGAAAATAAGTAATTACATGTACTATTCCAACATCTTAAAACTAAGGCCATATGGAAATAATAATTTTATTTCCTAGCTTCTTATTTAAGTAAAACATATAAAGCTACCAAAAGTTTACAAGACTGCAACCACTTAGTTGAACCTCAGAAACAAATCTTTCAGTATTCAATGACTACACAACACAGGAAAACTAGTAACTCATTCCTATCAGTTTTGGTTGGTTTGCTTTAAAGAAATTGGTTACCAGAAAACTGCCAAAATATTCAGTCAATACGACTGTTTTTTAAAGCAGTTTGACAACTGTATGGAAGAGAGAGAGACAGAGGAGGTGGTATGTGATCTAATAAACATGCATCAAGACAATCTTTTAAACATATGTAAATCCTAGCTGGTCAAATCTGAAAAGTTATAGGACTCATTTTCAAAGCACTATTCCCCAGGTAATGGATATGTTAGCAAATGAAAAGACCATACCAGGTCTGCATATCATATAAGATATATCCTATCATGTATCATTATATATAATATAAAAATATATCATAAAAGGCTGTATATCACTTTCTACAAACACCTTTGAACCCTGTCCAATCAAGGCAAGGAATGAAACCAGTTCCCTCCAATCTCATTAGGGATATATTAGTTTCCCACTACTATTTCCAAGCCCTTCACCACTCCTCCCAAGTCAAGATGTTAATATTGAGCAGAAGCCCAAAATTTATTATGAAAAGAAACTACTGGAAATAACCATTTCAATACAACAGCTGAAAACAGCATCTTGCAAGCCATGGAGATGTCTGCTTGCCTGTCTGTGCACTAGTACAGATGACCCTCATCTCATTTCCTCATAAAATGAAGTTAAAACAAAAGAAATTCCACCTCACCCAGTTAACATTATCATGACTCTGGTTTCACCTAACACTCGTAAACAAAATCCTTCTGAATCTGCACAGGTTGAATGAAAAACACTTGCTCAGGCTGCACTTACAACCCATTCCCAGATGGGAATTCTGTCTTCTGTCTCAATTTCATTGAAAAAGCATCTCTCATCTTGTTTTATCTTTTTTTTAAAAAAAAAAAAAAAACTTTTGTTTTACTTAGAACAATCCACAGCACAGATCCATGAGGCTCCATCTCAACTAAAACTGTCCTTCTCTGTTGAAGGTCTGCTTTTTTTTTCCATCTGCTCCATTACATGAGCTCCTTCTGATGTCCAGAGAAGAATTCCTGACAAAATTAAACACTGGCAGAGCATGTAGAGACCCAGATCCTGTTCCTAATATTCACTATAAGCAAGAGACTTATTAATATCCTTAGAAAAACAAAGATAACACCAGAATCTGTTGGCATGCAAGCACAGTGCTAAATTCCAAGATTCCCCTACAGGCATAAAGGCACACAACCTGACACCTATAGAAACGCAGAAAAATTGAGAATTTGTCCATCTCCTCTTCAAGAATAATAATAATAATAATAAAAAAAAAAAACTAAACCAACAACATTTTAATTTTTTTTTTTTTTAAAAACTGGGCACTTTGATGTTCCAGCATGTACTTACTGAATTGCAAACTGACATTGCTCTTAAAACCTTGTTTTTATCAAGTTGCAAAACATGGTTCTACTACTATACACCTAAAAAAGAAACAAAGCAAAACTGACTTATAAATAATTATTTCTTTCACTTAAGTATCTTGCTTATCAGTTGCAAGGACCATTCTACAGTCTACAGCACTTCAGAGTTACTTTCTTAAATAAAATAGTGTATCAAGTTGCCCCCACTAACATCTCTGAAGTCGGTAACAGCACATTCAGTTAGATTTGGTCACTGTATTCAAAAATAGCTCAATTTAAATGCTAATATTAATGTTCAACAAATGAAATTGAGAACAGTCTAACTGTTAGAATTTTTTCCTCAAAAAAAGTTAAGTTTACGAATCCACAGCAAAAAACTAACTGAAAAGTGTCTTATAGTCACAAAGCAAGAAGATATCATGAGTTTCATGGCCAGCCATAATAATTAATAGTCAGCCTCTTTGAGTCTCTTCTGAGAACCAGCCAGGCTAGTGATTAGGCACTAGAATACTCCATAATTTATTTTAGAGTTCTTAAAAACTTCAATTTTTGTTCTCTGCTCTGAACTGTATTTAAGCCTGAGGCTTAAACAGAAGCCTTAGTAATGCATTACTGTTCCTAGAGAGATGCCATCTTTCCAAACAAGTTTTTATTCCCAAAGTAATTTTTGGGTTTTGCTTTGTTTAAATATATTTTCCTCTTTTTCAACTTTACAAATACAGTTATTGAATCCAAGTTAAGAAAACACTGATGTTTGAGTAGTTCCCACACATCTTTCCAAAGCCCAGATATTGGGCATACAGTAGTTATTCTTTTTTAGTACTTCCTCTTGTTAAGGCTTGAAAGAAAAAAGGAAATCTATCACATCTATGACACTAAGTAACAAGGACAATTTGTTCCTACCTCAGTTAAGCAATCAAAAGGAACAGACCAAATACAACAGGCTGTTCTTAAGACTTTGCTAAGAGTGGAAGCAAAGACATCTAAGTACCAGGACTGCAATTTTGAATAAGAACAGTGGTTTTCTGTTAGATGACACTGCTAGAGAAGCCTAACAGAAAGAGGTGCAGGCTCTCTGGTAAGTGTCCTGGTAGAAGGGGAAAGAATGGTATAATATTTCTGCCACACAAATTCTGATTTTCCTCCCTTTCTGAACCAGCCACCACAATAAATAGGTATTTTTCTAATTTGAAGCACTGCATAAGAAGACTATTTGCACATACCAATAAATGTTTTAGCATACTGTAAGTCGATGGAAAAAAAGGAAATCAACTTTCAAGATGATAGTAAGAAGCCCAAGACAAATTCTAAGGGTGAAATTGCTCACTGCAGTCAACACTGGGGCCTTAGAAATAATTTCTGATATCTTCCTGCACACTGATGAATACTGCAAGAGGTTGCCATGCTTTGTTTTATAACTTTTTATCTTACAAATATCAGATATGCAGGAAATTGATGAGTAACATACTCCTCCTCCATAAAGTTCACCAAATCTTGGGTGTGTATACGATGGCATCATAATTTATCAAATTTATCCAAATTATCAAAATTTGTCCATATTTATCAAAACTCAATAGTACTGTAATACATTTGAATTTCTGGCATCTTTCAGCAAACTGACTGACAAGTTTTGGGGGTAAGACAAGAACAACTTATATATAAATAACATCACTCATACAATTCAGCTATTTCTGTTACTAAAAAACAGTAACTTAGAACGGGTAACAAGCATTTTGATCAATCCTATTAAAATCTTGCCTCTTAGAATAAGTTAATTTATTCACAGCAACACTGGCATGAAAAAGTCACCGACAGATTTTACAGTAGTAAAATATTCTGAAACCAAAGAGCTTTTTTTTACTTTTGAAATACTAAGAATACCTTCGTATAACCTACCCTAAGACTTCTTTCACTTACAAATCATATAAAAAACTTCCATTTTGCTTACAAATTATTTATATTCTACACACCTGATCAGATTTAAATTAGACTTCATGAGCTAGACATCGCATAGTTATATTGGATTTCATTAAACACATTCAAATAAGTTAATGAATTTAAGCAGCAGTTTTGAATAACAGTCAAAATTACAAGATGAAAAATAAATTTGGAAAAACATAGTTTCCTTATTATGTATTTTCCTTTATTCCAATGACAAATAAAACCAGTTATTCTGTAACGGATGAAGGCCAAAAGTGCCAGAAATAAATGAATTAAAACATTTGAAGAACATAATTTATGGATAGCCCATATTGAGACAAAGCCTTGTCTTATTTTTAAAACTATAATTTGCACGATTTGTTATGTTGTTATGCTGAATAACAGGCGGAAATCTTCAGTTCCTGACAAAAGACTAAATTGTGGGTTGCTTTTTTTTCCCCCTAATGATGCTAAAGTGATGTTTCTTTTTGTGAAAGCAGTAAAATCTAAATTCCCACAATAAAATAAATTGCCAGTCAGTAACTCCTCCTTAATTTTTTAGTTGTACTGATATTGTAAAGGTATCCACTATCAATAAGCTTTTATTAACTGCTTAAAATCCAGACATCAGGCATTTGTATAAATAAATACAAGTAACTACATAATGTTTCAGATTCTGGTGAAGAAAAAGGGTGCGTAATATGTTTTTTAACTTTAAAACTGCTTGAGTGAAAAAGATCCTTCTCCCCCTCCTCCTAGCAACTAAAGACTTTATCACAGTCAAAGAAATCTAATGGGGGAAGCAGCATGGTTAAGTCTCATTTTTAAATTTATTTTTTGTATGCTTTCCCATCATTTACAACAGACCTTCCATACTCAAAAGTAAGAATAGCCTTTTAGTGAAGTTCTCTTTCATCTTCCCATGAGATGTCAATCAGCCTCTGAACTGGATAATCTGTACTTCTCTTTCATTCCTCAAGAAAGTTTAACTTTGAGAGGTACAGCTTCCTAAATAATTACTCAGGAACATTCTTATACTAGGTTTTCATTGATGCCTATTCTTTTTTTTGTGTGTATATACAACCCTTCAGGGCACTAATATTTACAGTGAATACAGAAGGACAGCAGTGCATTAAGAATTTTAATAGTAATTTTATCAATACCTGTAGGAAATGCTGCCCAAGCAATAGCAGGGGATGTAGTCTGCTTTTCACCATTTCCAAACTCATAACTCTCTGCTGCCTAGAAACACAAAAAAAAAAACCCATTGTTACATATTTTACAAAATGCTAAAAAATCCTATAAAAATAGTTGAAAGTAGTTACATTTCAAAATTAAGTCATCCAAATAACATACCTCAAATCCTCCAAAGTCATCATCATCCATCTTCCAACTGGTCCTGGAATACAGCAGAAGTCTTCATTTAAAAACACTGAGTTGCTAAATCTCATTTATTCATAAAATAGCCATGAAAACTTTGTAGAACCAAAAGTATGGTGTTAGTTCTAATAGACAGACTCGGGTACAACATGTCACTGTGGTCAAACCCTAAAAGCCCAACAGTATGAAGTAGCACAGTGTTCTGCACTGTGGGAAAATGGGAATATTTCATTGGTTAGTCTCATAAGAGAAGAAATTTTATGTTCAACTAGGAGTCAAAAGACAAAATGACTCATATATTTGTATTTATGTAAGAGATGAGACCTCCACTTGGATGCAACTGCTGCCTAGCTCATCTCTGCTCTTCAGAACACCACATTCTCCTTTAGAAATGATTATTCAGTCTACAAATGGCTAAAAAAAAAAGAAAAGTCTAAAAAAGTTCTACAAAAGATCAAGGGACCTAAATAAGAACTTGTTCACAAAGAGGATGCACAACTGCTGGCTAGCTCATCTCTGTGCTCTTCAGAACATCACATTCTCATTTAGAAATGAATATTCAGTCTACAAATGGCTTAAAAAAAGAAGTCTAAAAAAGTTCTACAAAAGATCAAGGAACCTAAATAAGAACTTGTTCACAAAGAGGATGCAAGGGCTAGAACTCCAAGATCTCTCCTAAGCACTTTTTTATCTGGTCAATATAAATGAAAAAATCAAGTATTTTACAATGGAATTTGAGTATCTTCAAGGAAAAAGATAAGCACTGCCCATCAATGTGGTTAAAAATCTTTTGAAACCAAGAATTCAGAGAAAAGCTTTCCAAGACAGGAAGACAGAGAGCTGGTACTTGAGAGCAATAGACACAGCTTTTAAAGTATAGTGGTCAAGTCCTCAGTACCTCAACAAATGGTACTGAAAACAGTAAATAAACTAGTCTGAATATAACTTAAACAAAAAAGAATTCCAAGAAGAAGGTTTTCTGACCATCAGACTCCAAAATGAAGAATTTTCTTCATTAGTAATAAAGATGATCCAACTTAATGCAACTGCAATCTGTCATGTGCTTCGCAGTTTTGTGTTTATGATTTTAAAATATAAAAATATTTTCCACGGTTAAGTTGCTTTTCTAAATCAGTACGATGATTAAATCCAAAAAGATTTCCTGCTTTTCCCATCTCTTAGCTGTCTGGCAACATCAGCACAAACTGCATCTTAGAAAAAGACTGTGGTGAATTTCTGGAAAATTTTTTGCTACCACAGAGGTCCTTCCCTAGGTTTCATAGAGGGGTTGATTTAGATTTTACAAACTGATCAGCATTTTTGAGCTGTAGCCCTGAATTCTGTGGCATTTTAATATATTTATAGTTAAATTGTAGTTCCTTTTACAAAAATGCAGAGTAAGTTACTCAGCTAATGAAAGTAACTCAAGATACACACGGCTGTTCAAAGAAGGGTACTGTATTAAAATAAATAAATAAATTTTTAAAAAATCATTCAGATATGTGAATGAAGGATGATCCAAAAAACCTTTAGGGTCTTTACAGAACATCAAAAAGTTAATTGAGTTCAGTTAAAAGAGACTACAGGCTGGAGAAACTTGTGTTAACGTGAAAGCATAGGCTCAGAAACAAGAAGTCAAAGGGTTTTGAGGAAATTTCCAAATTAAAATATTAAAATGTCAGAAGGGGACACTTTCAGTTTATATGCACTGCTGAAAATTACTACCAAGAAAAACTTCAAATCAAACACACATCTTCCAAAGTCTGACAAATTTCCAAGTTCTTATTGATGAACTTCATTTAAATGAACACTAGACAGAGAGATTGGGTCAAATCTCTGTAAGCAGACAGATTTTCAATTAGAGTATTGGCCAATATTTACCCGTGATATAAGAACTAAGTATAATTTTGGGGACTGCAACAGGTTTTGGTGGTTTTGTGTTGGTTGGGTTTTGAGCTGTTTTATTTTTTAAAGGGAAAAGAAGGTAGTTGAGTGTTTTTCCCATCAGTGTTAACCTTAAGCAGTCAAATGTTCATGCATTCTTCTATAAACATTCAGAGCTTTAATATATAACTCAAAAAAAATAACATGTGCACACAGAAATTACAGCAGTGGAAGCTGTATAGATAGAATACCACTGCTGAAGCAGGCAGCAATACACAAAAAACTGAGAATGTCAATTTATTCACACTACCTACTACTAAATGCCATCCAAATCAGGCTGGTGATTTATATAGGTACTGCAAAATGCAGCATTCAAGTAGCAATCAGAGCAACCAGTTGGAGAGAGAAAAGTTTTAGAAAGGCAGATAGGTGTTTTATCTTTACACTATGTATCAACAGGTCCTACAAGCTCTACCCAAAATTACTTCAAAGGACCACAGTAACTATTATAAAGACCACAGCAGATTTTTCTCCCCAAAGAGTAAGTGACATTATTCCCATTGTTTCAGAACTGGTTGTCTAAACCAGAGAAACTACATTCCATAATTAGGTCTCTGTTTTAAAAAGACAAAGTGGAACAAGTCGAAAGGAGTGCAACAGAAATTAAAGCAACTTTGGAAAGGCACACTAAAATGCATAGACTTTTTTTTTAAAAAAAAAATTAAAAGGCAAACAGAAATATCAATAAAATATTCAAAATAATATTCCAAGAATCGATTATTTACTTTCATTTATCATAAAATACAGCACTAACATGCCTCTATAGGTAAAATATATCTTAAATACTAGCAAGGATTTCCAAGAAGGAAATAAAATAAGAAAATAAATAAGGAAATAAATAAGAAAAAAAATATGAGAACCTATGTATACATAAAACACAAGTAACTTTTGATAGAAAAAAGGATGTAAGGAAGAAAAAATGGAGAACAACCTGTTCCTGAATCCATCATCTTTATTATTACATTTCACATATAGTTTTCATAAGTCTGGTATAAAGATCACAAGACTATTTTGACCTAAGACTACCTTACTCCACGAATTTCAACACAGACATTTCATGGCTGTAACAGCATGATTAATCTATGAATTATTCCACACATCATTTAAATGGAATAAAAGATAAGCAGACTCCAAGCAACTCTCAGTAGTATCAATGGTATTTTTAAGCCTAACTGCTAATCCTCCAATTTCTACTTCTGCAGAGATCCCGCAGGAATTCTAGGATAAGTGATTCTCAACCAGTTAAGGAGGACTATTTGCTATTTGTTTGTGTATAATATATACTCATACACATCCATGCACCTCTGCTTTCAAAGACAAAGCTAAGTTTTTAGTTCCAGCAAAAAAAATAAATCTAAGTCCTGATTTGTGCACATGCTTTGTTTGCTGAAGGTAAAGAAAAAAAAAATCTGAATTAATCTGCCAAATTTAGCATGTATCACAAGTAAGCAGGAGGCAAATTAGGAGAGAAAGCATGGATTAAGTCCTGAGGATGGTGACACAGGGCACTTCAAGAACTCAAAGGCTGGGGTACACTTTTCAAAGAGTGTTAGTGCAAGAGCTCCTACTGGGAGATGTCTTTCCAAAATGACTTTTCATCTGGCATACAAAGGGTGCTTTCTGCAAGGAGAGGGGAACATGGCAACACCAGTGTTTCAAGAATTATTTGGCAAAAATATTAATGAAGCCTACTTTTAGTTAAGAGTCTTTCATAGCCCTCAAAAGTACGTGTGCATTCAGCTCTAAAAAAGTTTCTATAATTGAATTGATAACAATGCTGAAAATACAACCAAACATACAATTTCTCAGTTCCACCCCTCATTTTTGTGATGGAAATGCATTTCTGGTATAAACAAACAGCAGAACGAGCCCAACACCTCACAAAGAACTGCAACAATTTTGGAAGGAGCATTTGTTAATCAATCATCTATTCCAAAATGAATAATCAGACTTTGCTTTCCTCACAGACTAGGAACATTATTTGTGGCACTGGAATAGGAAAGAATACATTAAGTGCTGACAATCTGCAGAAGGATTTAAAAAATAACACACAAAAAACCCAAAGTAACCCACAATCTTACCATGACTAAATGTGGTCTCTTAAAATATGCCCAATACTGGAATTAAGTAACTGTAAAATTGGGCAACAAGAAGTCCACCTCAAAATTACAAATTCATAGATATTATGGTTAGAAAAGACAGCAGGTCCATCCAGCCCAGGCAGCTTCCAAAACATTACAGTTCTCAAGACAGTCATGTCCTACAAGGCTTGAAAAGCTCTCTAATCACACCCCCGTGAAAAGAAGGAAACTTTTTATGGATCACAAATATGTAAGTCACTGAGTTTTCAGTAAATTTTATCAACAGGTTTGCATTTATCAAATCACACAATAGTTGAGGCCAGAATTTAGACCAACAGGTCACCCAACACAAGTTCCTGCTCAAAGCAGGGTTAACATTGAATTCAGATCCAGGTGCTCAAGACTTCCTTCAATGCAGGATGAATCTATTCAAATACAAGTAGCTGTCCATATCTGAGATGCTTGCAAGCTTCCCTACATAAAATGCACTCACCAAGGCCTGGCCATCAGCTTAACATAGGTCTCGAGAACTTTATGAAATGTGCTTACTTAACAGACATACCAAAAATCATGGGTTTATAAACAGAAAGAGCAGGAGCCATTCACAGGGAATAAGACAGAAAAACGTAAGCTGGGTAAAAGAAAAAGCCCCTCTTTCCATTTCAGCCATTAGGAGGAGAAGAAATGTTGTAATCCCACCAGGAATCCCAGTATTCTTCATATCCAAAAGGCAAAAGTGGTAGAGCCCAAACTGAATAAGGAAGGATTCTTCATACACTTAGAAGTCTACCCCTGGTTAATAAGAACTCAAATTAATCAAGTCCTGGTCAATTATTTGATAAATCAAATATAAATTTTCACCACTAATAAGGACAATTAGTTTTGCTAGGTAAATTCCACTGGACAATATATTACCTGGCCTGGAATTTTCACTGAGTGACTAATTTATTTGCAGAATTTTGTACCACTTACAGAGCCTGT